TATCGAACGACTTCACCGAGTTCGTTCCTTTTGCGCACAAAGACCCATTTGTGGCCCACTGGCTTGATGTGTGATGGGGTCCGGATGATCGGACCGAACACGTTTCTGAGTTTGAGACTCTTTAACTCCACGTTTATGGCTTCTTTCCATTTTAGCCAATCTGTTCGATGTGTACACTGTGTTATTGACGTGGGTTCTAGATCCTCTTGCGTGAGCGCAACATCAAGTGCTACTTTGTATGCAAAGAGTGCATTTAAGTCGACTTCTTTTCGATTCCATTGTATTCCGGACATATTGTAATTGATGGAGATCTCATTGTTATCTTCTGAACCTGGAGATTCGGCGTCCCGAACTTCCATTGAGGGTTCATTAGATTGAGTCTCAGCCGCGGCTATTTCTGATATTGCAGGAATCCCGGTTTCGGTTATTGCACCTTTCTTTGATTTCTGGGGATTCTTATCTTTGGAACCGAGAGGTCTGCCCCGTTTGAGACGTGGTGCAGACTCTGTAGCAACTTGGGTCTGTCCCGTTGGGACAGCTATTCGTACTGGTGCATAACAAGCTGGGATGTACGATTTGGTTACTTTGGTCGGGTCAGCAAAGGAATCTGGCAATTGATTAGCTAGCTTTTGATAATGAATAATCTTTTGGATCTCTGAATCACATTCTAGAGTCCGAGGATCTTGCCAATTTAATGATGTTTGATTCCATGAAAGATCTTTGACCAGCTTGTTTGTCTCACCACCTAAAGAGGGATATACCGATTCATCGAATTGGCAATCCGCATATCTGGCCTTGAAGAGATCTCCAGTGGTTGGCTCGAGATATCTTATGATGGTGGGAGAGTCAAAACCAACATATATTCCCATCCTTCTTTGAGGTCCCATTTTGGTTCGATGTGGTGGAGCAATGGGTACATATACTGAACACCCAAATGTTTTGAGATGGGAGATGTCTGGCTCATGACCCGAGAGTAGTTGGGATGGGGAATATTTGTGTTCACTAGATGGCCGGATGCGTATGAGTTCAGCAGCATGTAATACTGCATGTCCCCATGCTGAGGCCGGGAGCTTTGATCTCATGAGTAATGGTCGGGCTATCCATTGAATGCGTTTAATGAATGATTCAGCCAATCCATTTTGAGTATGGACATGTGCTACAGGATGTTCCACGGTTACCCCCATGGCCATACAGTAGTCATTAAACGCTTGTGAGGTAAATTCACCAGCATTGTCAAGGCGGATAGTCTTTAGTGGGAAGTCAGGGAAATGGGCCCGCAATTTGATGATTTGGGCCAAGAACCTAGCGAAGGCTTGGTTCCGAGAGGACAAGAGACAAACATATGACCAACGGGTCGATGCGTCTATAAGGACCATGAAGTACCGGAATGGTCCGGAAGATGGATGTATAGGTCCACAGATATCGCCCTGGATTCTTTCTAGGAAATGAAGTGTTTGTTTAGAGATTTTAACTGGTGAAGGCCGAGTGATCAATTTGCCTTGAGAACAAGCTGTGCACATGAGGTGTTGAGGATAAGCTCGGTTTTCTTTGAGGGTATGCCCTTGAGAGTTTTGAATTAGTTTACGCATCATATTTGCACCAGGATGACCGAGCCGGTCGTGCCAAATAGTATAATCAGTAAACCGGGCTTTGAGAGTGGTATTAGCTTCAATCATACTGACTTTAGCATGGTAAAGTCCAGTAGATAGCGCGGGTATGGTTTCGAGGATTTGTTTATGGCCGTCTACGGTTTTAGTGACTAGGAGGGATTCTTTGTTCCCTTGACCTTGGGTTTCTATGTGGAAACCATTCTGTCTTATATCCTTGAAGCTCAGAAGATTTCTCTTCGAACTAGGAGAATATAGAGCATCTGGTATTTCAAGTTGTGTGCCATTTGATAGCAACACATAGGCATGGCCATATCCTTCGATAAGGTTTGAGGGACCCGCGATGGTGCTAATATTTGCGGTTTGATAGGTTAGGTTTATGAAGTAACTTTTGTTTCTTAAGATAGTGTGGCTGGATCCACTATCTACGACTATGGTTTCCATTTGCTGGTGTGCTTTATTATGAATAGAAGATAGAATTCAGTATTGAGGAATTCAGAAAATGTGATAAATCATAAAGTAAAGCAGTGTCTGAGAATAAAGGCAAATGAAGAAAAAAAATGAAACAAATCCCAAAATGAAAAAAAATAAAGAACAAAATCAAATTGTATCAGAGTTTCAGATGATTGAATTAATCGAGGAGATCAGCTGTTTCATAGTCCATGGGGTCGGTCTGCTCGTTTGTGGTGTTCTCATCATCAAGGAGGTCGTCACCTTCCAGGTTAGCAGCATCGACTGGCTGAGTCATGTTGGCTTCAGCAGGAGCTTTTCCGTACTTCTGGTATAGATCGCAGTGGATCTTGGGGGTGCGACATTGCTTTGTTGGGTGGTTGAACATCCCACATCTGGTACAAGCAGAGTGATCGGGGTTGGTGTGGCGGGTCGGCTTGGTGATGCCTCGACCACGACCAGGACCATAACTGAGGTTAGGTCGGTTGCCACGACCATGTCCGCGTCCACATCTTCCACGTCCATGTCCTCGGCCATTACCACGTCCATTACCACGTCCACGGCGGTGATCTGAGGATCTATCGGGTTGAACATGGTAGGACTCTTGACGAGAAGCTGGGACAGGAGCCGATCCCGGGGGCCTCATAGCGTTGTTCCTCATAAGCAGTTGGTTATTCTTCTCAGCGAGGAGAAGACAGGACAACAAGTCTTCGTACAATGTGTGTTGCATTGCACGGTATTGTTGTTGGAGCACAACATTCTCTGTGCTGAATGTGGATAATGTTTTCTCGAGGAGATCATTATCTGTCACATCCTCGCCACAGAGTTTCCGGATGGCAACAATACGAAAGAGTTCGTTGTTGTAATCATCTACGGATTTGTAGTCCTGGAACCGAAGGTTCTTCCAGTCGAAATCTGCCTGAGGCAACTGGACCATTTTCTGATGGTCATATCGCTTTTTCAGCGCTTGCCACAATTCAAGTGGATTCTCAAGAGTGAGATATTGCTGCTTAAGGCTCGGGGCCAGATGATGGCGTATGTGACATGTCGCCTGAGACTGTCCCTTACGGGATGCGGTGTTACCGTCGGTAATACACGCATCGAGTTCTTTCGATGCAAGGAACAAGCGCATGTCTAGGGCCCACTCGAGGTAGTTATCCCCGGAGACTTGAAGGGCCTCGAATTCACATTTCTGAATGTTTGACATCTGAAACATGAGATTGATTTTGTTAGGAATTGTTTTGAGAAAATTTTGAATGCTGATGATGAAACTTTCTATTTTGAGAATATTTCTATTTTAGGAAAGTTTCTAAATTTGGAAAGTTTCTAATTTGGGTAATTTTCTAAATGAGGAAAGTTTCTATGTCGGGAAAAATTTCTATATGAGGAAAGTTTTTATATGAGGAAACTTTCTATTAGAGGGAACTTTCTCGGAAATAGTAAATTTTAAAGGGTATGGTTTTAGTTACCCCGAACATGATGTCGGTTTAATAGCTGTGATTTAATCGGTTAAAGCCGAATATAATTTCGGTTAATGAGAACCAGGTTTAGCCGGTTTTAGGCGGTTTAGGAGGAACCTAGGGGAGCCGAATATGATTAGGGTTTTATCTAGGGTTTTAACGGTTTGGAAAACATATTTTGGATGTGATTTCGAGATCTATAGGATCTGTGGTCGATGGTTTTAATAATTTCACAAGGACAACAAAGAAATCACGTGAAAAGGACTAGGGTTTAAGCATTATGACTTACAATTTTGAAGATTACAAAATCGTGAATCAAGCTTAGGATTTAGGGTTGATTTTCTTAGTTTATTCAATCAAGTGTTTCAAGCAAGAGAATCAACAATCAAATAAGCTGCAACAAGCTTATTAAACATGAAGAAAATCGAATAGGTTTATGCCATAAACATGGCCAAAAACGGTTGTTAGGTTTTTGTAGATTAGGGTTTTATAAAACGAGTTTAAAACCTTTGAACATGCATAAACTTGTAATTTAAACAATCAATCAACAAGTTATCAATCAATCATCAGAGTATCAAACACTTTCAATCAATTAGAGATCGATTTTTTTTTTTTTTTATAGGGTTTTGAAGTGTTTAAACAACAGGTTCTATGGCTTTCAGTTTTAGAAGATACCTTTTCCACCTTTGGATTTCTGACAGGCTAATGAAACTGGGAGCTAATAGACCTCAGTTAGCCGCTACAAATTCCAAGGATTGATCACCAAAACTGGAGAAGCTGCTGGTTGAAGAAGGAAAAACTCGGATCTGGTTTTTTTTTTTTTTCGGTTGATCGTCGTGTATTGTAAGTGTGCGTGAGGGCGCGTCCGACGTTGGATCGACGAGGGCTTCGATTTGATATGTAGATCGTCTTCTGGTTCCTCACGGTTTGGAAGATATGCGTTTTTTAAGTTTCGACTTGCTTTTAGGGTTTTGGTGGTGGCCGGATTTATTAGGGTTTTTCGCTCAGAGAGTCTTATCGTGCTGATAACGTGTTGTGAAAACTTAGATACTTTATTAATCACTGGAATGTATATATAGAGTACATAGGGAATCTAGGTTAAGTACAATGCCCTGATGGGTCTAATGGGCCGGTATAAGAGTCCATATATGATATGTGTTATAACAGATTTAGTATTGTAAACGGTTTGGATTTATGGAACTTTTGTTAGTCGCCTCCGGCCTCTATCAACGTGTAGGCACTGCTCGTCCGTCCTTATCCTCTGCCTCTTTCAATACCGACCAAATCAAGACTAAAATGCAGAACCGTGTAGTATCAGTGTATCACAGTTGGGAGTTTATAAAAACCGAACAAGAGTAAGATCTTTCAAATATACACACTTGTTGGTTATAGGTACCAATTTCTTTTTCTGATTTATATCTATCTGCTTAAGTATAATATTATACGATAGATCTTTCAAATATACACACTTGTATGAAACTAGTTTGTCAAATGATTCCAATCTATTAGTTCCAGCAATGCGAAATGTAACTCGTTTCAAAAATATTGAAAGAAAGAACAATCACCAAAATGATCAAACTGGAAACAATTTCAGTGTACAAGGTAGATAGCGATTGAGAGAAGAAGATTCTAACAATTGATTATCTGCATTCACTAGTCTCAAAATACAGACCAAACACTTCATCGATGGCTAAATCAGGCATCTTCTGTGGGAAACTGTTTCTCCATGTCCGCGATTGTCTTCTTTGCATCTTCAACTTCTGGACCTTCTTTCTCATCTGTCTCTTCCAATTCCGCCTGCAAATTCAAGTTTATTTGGTTAGAGACAAAACACCAGAGTAGGCATTTCATGGTTCCTCTGTGTGCTTATTCATCGTTTTTACTTCAAAAAAAGACTTAAGATGCTTTCGTACAATCATCAATCCGATCACTATAGATAACATAACGTACTTCTAGTTTCAGAAATGAAATGTTCTCCTAAACTTGAGATCACGCTCTACGTTTTGTTACAGACTTATATATAAAGCTATAACGATGGAAAGTGTATTTACCAAAGTGGATTTGAGCTCAGCTAAAGCAGACTCAAGACGTTTGTGGCAATCTGGAATCATCATTCTTGATTCACCCAATACATTTTCCTGCATCACCCACATAGACAAAAAAGGAAAATCGACCCTGAATCAGAATCCGAAATTCAAATTGTAACACAAAGGACGCTAAGAACACAGCACAAAAACACATCCTGATCCTATCAAGAATCAGAAATGATCTATCTATAGATAAACTACCAGACGAGCAAAGACAAGTTCTAAATCATCATTTGAGTATTCAAGAGAGTAAATACGAAGAAGAACATAACATCATCAAAAAAAGTAGTAAAGAGTGAATAATTTTGACCTGCTGTTTAAGGTCATAGGGATCAGCTCCTTTTTCCTTCATATCAGCAGTCTTAGCAGCTTCTCTCTCAACTTCTTTCTCATAAGATTGAAGCTCTTTCACAATCCTTTTACAAGTTGATGTTTTTATCTTCAAGTTCCTAATCGTTGCCATTGGTTCCTGCCCAAAAAACCCAGTCACCGAGTGAGTGCAATACAGGGAGCAACCACAAAATTAGGGTTCATACATCACCAGACGCACGATTCCATAACTAGTTTACGATTCCTTAATTTGATCCCTAAATTTGAAAATTGGGAGACTAGATCCAAATTAATGTATCTACGAGCCGTGCATTACAGTAGATAGTGAGCAATTAGGTTTTATCAATCTCTTATACTTGATTCTGATCTATCTTCTGAGATCGTCACAAATCGTCGATTGAAATAAAAAAACCATTATAGTGTACAAAGAAAGACAAGTAGCACTAAGAAACGAACCAGACGAAGATCGAAGAAGAAGCTTGCTTCGGATGAATTAGTCTTGAGATTGAGTTTTTTATAGAACGCGATCGAAGAGAAACAAACAATTTCGAGAAAAAAACAACTTTCCCTTCTTCTTTTTTTTTTTTCCGCTTTCAAACCTTTTTTTGTGCACTTCAGATTTATATTAAGAAGCCATAAAAGGCAAAGTTAATGGTACATAGGCTTTGAGGCCCAAAGTCAATAAACCCAATAAAAAAAACTTTTGGTTGAACTATATTTTTTTTGACTTTTAGTAAAAACTCCTCAATTAAGTTTAAATTGGATAAAACCCCCTCAACTATTTTTGTAACGTAAAAACTTTTCAATTAAATTTTTGTAATGACTTAACCATTCCATGAACAGCACCGTCAAATCTTAACAAATTATTCTTTTTTAGCAAAAATTACACTATTTGTACTATAAACAACAAGCTTTATGAAAACCAGATATAAGAATCCCAAATTAAACCTAATTTCTAAATCCCCAAATTCTTAAACCTAAATTGATGAACCCTAACTTTTGAAAGTGTGATTCTAAGTAGTTTTTAAGTCAATTGGGTGAAATTGGAAATGATTTGTTGTGTTGATTAAAACGAATTTGAGAGAAAAACCTTTAAATTGAGAGAAATATTTTTGCCACTTGGAAGGGAGAGGAGAAAGAATCACAAATCTGAAGCTTGGAAGAAGATGAGACAACTGTTTTACTTTGGTGTTTAAAACCTTGTTCTTCTTCCTCCAATGAATTTATACTTAGAAGAAGAATTTAAGAGATTTTAAATTGACTGCGGACCCTAATTTTTTATTGGGGATTATTAGTTTTAAATCGATTTTGAATTTTTTTTACTGAAGTCATTTCGTTTTTTATATTAAATATAAAATACCACGTTAAAAAGACTTTTCGCGTGATATTCATGCGCCCCCAAATTTTCTCTCCAGCAGGCGAAAACAAAACCTAAATCTTTATTCTCTTCGACGACTCCACCGTTGCTGTTTCGTTGCTGGCTGCTTCCCGAAGCTCCACTACGAAAGATCACTAAACTTAGTCATCAGTGCTCCATTCATCTTTTTCCTTTCTTCTTCTATAGCTCTCTATTTTCACCATGGTTACAGGAGATATTCCAGTAACTGATTACGATTCGATGATGCCATCTTCGGAGAGGAGAATGGACTCCATGACACCGGAACCAATTCACCCGGCGGCGAATCTTGCTTCTGGAGATTCTCCGGTGTGGAGAACAGTCTTTACTCCCGCCTCAAACTCTCTAAAATGCAACGTCTCGGGGACCTCCGATATTGTCGCCGTTAACTCCTCTTCTCTAGACCCTCGGTGGCCACTTCTGAATCGATGGTCGGCTCACTCCCCTCAATCATCGCTGCCCTTAGTTAAAGAGACTTTGCAGATCGCATCTAATCCTGATGCATCTCTTTCTGCAACTTCTGTCTCAGCTCCAACAGAATTTTCAATTCCAGTTGTTGATGTTCCAGTGTCATCATCCTCTATCCCTCGAGTTAAATCAGTGAATCTTGTTGAAGCTTCAAAGGCTTGTGAAAAGCTTCCAGCTCCAACAATCCAGAAAGGAACACCATCTTCTCAAGGTGTCGCTAATCTGGAAAATTCACCGGTCGTAATCTCTAAAGACGCTTGGGAGAAGCCTCTTTCGATTATCTCTGCTTCTCTACGGCAGATCTCCGAACCTGGTGTATCTCAAGATCAGGGAAAATTTCCAAACGATTTGGAACCTGAAGCAGCGTCGCTCAAAGCACATTCTAAAGACTATTCTTGGGCAGCAAGGATGAACCAATCTCTGAGGAATCTACACAGAGTCACCATTCCGGAATATATGGAGGATGGAACCCCAAAGATAAGAATCCTGAGTCATGTTCTTCTTGGTGGTGTAGAAAATCAGAAAGAAATTGTTGTTGGTCAGTTCTATCGATGCTCTGCTCCGTCTAGCGGGCAAATTCAAGCTGTGGCTTCTAGGATATGGGGAAAGAAATGTAGAATCTTCATTCGTAAACTAGGAGAGTCAAAGTATCTCTTTCATATTCCTGACGAATCAACCCGTAAATGGGTTATTCAGAGAGGTTTATGGCATGTTGATGATTGTTTGATGTTTGTTTCTCCTTGGTCTACTGTTGATACAATTTCTGTCTCAGAAATTACCACTGTCCCGGTTTGGTTGACTCTCAACAACATTCCATACCAGCTTTACTCATTTGTGGGCATTAAGTGGATTGCTTCTGGTATTGGAGAACCAATGTTGACTGAGAAACCTTGGTTAGATCCAACACAAATGGGAAAAGCAAAATTCTTGCTGAGATTAAGCTTGATAAACCCTTTTACCAGAAAGTAGCTTTAACCGATATAAGTGATTCAATCACAATGGTGGATGTGCTCTACTCTTGGCTGCCTTCTAATTGTAGCAGATGTGGGCAATTGGGTCACAAAGCATCTCGTTGTCTTCTTCTACAAACAGATAAGTCATGTCGAGCAGCATCAACTACAGTTCCACATGTTTTTGAGAAGTCCATGGTCGATGCTATAGTTATTGCAGCTGCGACCGACCCAAAAGCCTTAACGGTCACTGTAATGGGAGAAGCAACAATGGAGGAGCTGGAATCTGCTTCAAATATGGCTTCTGTTCAAACATCTGTCCCTATTTCTACCACAACTAAGGCCGTCATTCCAGTGGCTATAGGTACTAATTTGACAAACTCCAACACTATACATTCTCGTGAGAGAGCTTGTATTACCATTAACAACAGATCTGAACTGGCCCCATCAAAAGAGGTCGTCACTCCAAAACAAGTATCACCTCCAACTATTCAAGTTGAGCACTCTATTCCAAGGTCCCCTTCTAACTTGTCACTGAGTAACAACAGATTTCCATCCTTTTTAGAGGATGAAGAAGAACCAGCAGATAGCGATAATGAACCTGAACAGATGGATTTCTTGACTCCTTCGGGTAAGAGAATTCTTCGGGAAAGGCCAGTTAAACCGTCTGCAAAAGTTAAGGAAATGCAGTGGCAGTTAGTTGGAAGTGGACGTGGAAACCGTGGTCGAGGCAACAGAGGTGACCGTGGCTAGATTAATGTTCGAAGAAATTCTTTATTTAACCGAAGGGGAAGATTCAGTTTCTACTTATGTCAAGTTTCTTGTACTTTTACTTTACACTTTATGTAAACATAAACTTCTTCCAAAACCGTGTAAGTCTGATTCACAATCCGTTTCGACTAAAAAAAAAAAATAAAAAAAAATACCATGTTTTTATTTAACAGTAATCCGTTAAGATTTGATGGTACTGTTCATAGAGAGGATAAATCATTACGAAAACTTAGTTAAGAAGTTTTACATTATAAAAATAGTTGAGGGGTTTCTATCCGATTCAAATTTAGTTGGGGGATTTTTTCACTAAAAATCCTTTTTTTTATATTATTCATCATATTAAATATAACATTATGCAAAAGGTTAATTTAACAAGTGTGTGTTTCGTATTCGATACATGTTTCTATCTTCGTTGTTCAAGTACACTATATATTTTCGTATAAGATCGTTGAAATGTTAGACCATGTTTATTGGAGAAATCCTCAAGGGTTTCTCTGTCATTATTCTATTATTAAAGTTAAGAGGAGAAATTCCTAAAGAAACTTATGTTATTTTGTTGTATATTGGAGAAACTTAGATGAGTTTTTTTAAATTTTTTTTTTTTGAAACGTTTATTATTTAGGAAACTACATTATTATTTTGAAAATAACACAAACTTAAGATATTAATATTCAAAATTAGAAAACAACACAAACTTAACAGAATATTCTTAATATTTGAAATAATCCAAATTTAACAATAAAACTCAGTTATTAACTTAATGATATCCAAATCGTTGCCATATATGCTCAACCAAATCTGCTTTCAATTGGTGATGAATTTGTATATCCCGAACTCTTTTCCGATTATTGAACATCTCAACGATATTTGAACGCATGTCTGTAGAGTATTCTTGATCCACCTGTGCAATTCCTTCTCCTTCTCCTTCTCCTTGTTGGAATTCAGCAACATTAAACTGGTATCTGTCACGTTCGTCTTCTACTATCATGTTGTGGAGAATGATACAAGCCCTCATAATTTTTCCAATTTTTTCTTTATCCCAACTAAGAGCCGGATTTTTAATAATGGCAAATCAAGCTTGCAGAACTCCAAAAGCACGCTCCACATCTTTTCGGAACCCCTCTTGACGTTCAGCAAATAATGTTGCTTTCTGACCCTGAGGAAGGTTAATGGATTTCACAAACGCGGCCCAATTCGGATAAATACCATCTGTTAGATAGTAAGCCAAATTGTATGCCGTTCCGTTGACAGAAAAAGTAACTTTCGGAGCTTTACCTTGTATGATATCATCGAAGACAGGGGACCGATCTAGAACATTTATATCGTTTAAAGTACCTGGAGGTCCAAAAAACGCATGCCATATCCACAGATCATATGACGCTACGGCTTCTAAAACGATGGTGGGCTTGCCATGACCACGAGAAAATTGCCCTTTCCATGCGGTGGGACAATTCTTCCACTAAACCGATAACAAGGAAACATTAAACTAAAACATGAAACATGAAACTAAATATTCAACAGCTCAATTGTCAGCTTTTGCTTCAGGGCTTCTTCAAACTCAGTGAGGGGCTCTTTCTTGGCGATTAAACTGTCAAGTAATGACATCTTTGACAGTCTCTCTTTTCTGTCCATCTCCTTCTCTTTTCTGTCAAACTCCATCTCTTTTATGCTCCACATATCTTGGAAATGACCCACAGCATTGGCATCAAGCACAAACTTCTTCCCTTTGGCTTTTGCTGCCTTTACACCAGGAGGCCTCAAAACGGGTTCAGCTTCATCTGGCTCTGCGAATGAGTTTGGCGAAGGAGCTCCATCTTCACATCGACGTTTTTTAGAGCCTCCACCAGTTTTAGAAGTTCTTTGCTCACACCATTTTTGATCGTTACGAAGCTCCTTCCAGGCATGTTCTAAAATGAACTTTTTCTTATTGTCATTGAAGTATATCTCGTGTGCCATCTTGAGAACATCATTCTCGTTTTGGCCACTAGTTCTCTCCCTTGTTGCTGCATCATAGCAACCAGAGAATTTGCAAACAGCTTCATTTATCTTCTGCCACCGCTGCTTACATTGAATGGCTTCTCGGGTTTGACTTCCTGCTGGCTTTGACTTTGCAAAGTACTCTGCTATTCGACTCCAAAAAGTACCACTCTTCTGCTCGTTGGAGACCACCGGATCTTTAGAGGTGTTGAGCCAGGAGCTTATGAGAAGAATGTCATCACTCGGCGTCCACTGCTTCCTCGCTGTTCTTTCCTTCTCCTTGTCTTCTCCGCAGCTTGCATCTCCATGGATCGTTTGTGAGCAGAAGAATGGAGGCTGTGATGATCCAAGTGCCACGCAGGGGTAAGTAGCTGCACTCTCTTGTTGACTGTTCAACAGTTCAACAAAATGAGAGGAATGGCTGAAGGGATATGAAGACATATCCTGAATGAAGGTGAACGGGTTGAAGAGAAGAGGGTTTAGAAGAAAGAGATCAAGGAAAGAGGGTTGAGAAGAGATGGAAGAGAACAAGAATGAGAACAAGAAGAGAAGAAAGATAAAAAGGCAACTTGAGAAGAGAGTTCAATGACTCGTTTAAGTACAATGAGAAGAAGTAGATGCAAAAAAAGGGAACAAGAGAAGAGAAGAAAGAGCACAAATGCATTCAACACACACACAACCATATCGACATGACACAAAGCATTCATCACCATACCAGCATTCAACACAAAGCGAACCAAAGCCCCTAAACATTTATTACTATCACTCTATTACACGCCTAATCACTAATACCTATACAAAGCTACACTAACCCTTTTACAAAGCTAAACTAACCAGAGCAGTGAACTAACCTTACATATTGGTTGAATGATCCCTCTCTCCTCTTTGTTTGATGAAGAACAAGGACAAACCTGCAACCAAAGCTTGGAACAAACAACAAAATATTAGCACCAAAGCCAACTTAAAAAACAAACACCAAAACATGATTTATAAGAAGTTTACACAACCAACAAAACCATCGATCAAAAAATAACAAAGTCTATGAAGTTTCATTCTCTAAGTCGAACCTAATCATATCAAATCATATCAAACCATATCGAAAAACCTTACCCCAAATCAAAACATCTTAACCAAATCATATGCATCTAAGAATCGAATACAAACGTCTTAAGCCAAATCCCAGAAACAAAATTTCCAATTCAATCGAATATGAAACAAGATTTAGCCTAAACACAAATCGATTAACAAAAGCTATATCGATTACCAAAGGGGTTTATAGCAAATAACACTTGTAAGAGATAAAGGAGAGGATTGATAACGAAATTACATACCATGCAAGGATTTGAAAGCTCTGAATCTTCACACCTATTTCACCACTCGGTTCGAAGTAGATGAAGAAGCACCGCCGCTGTTCAGGAGGAGATTGGGACGAGGATATGTCGGAGAATTTGAGGAGAAGAAGTAGAACCGCCGTCGCCACCACGAAGTCGGAGAAGACGCGAGGAGGAATCAGAGGCGACGGAGATGTCGAGAATGTTTCGCGAGAGAGAAGAATGGTAGCGGAACAAAAAAAAAATTGCCTCAGAATTTTCTCTCCAATTCAACAGCCTATCGCGGTCTGCCACGTACACCAAGAGAATCGATCCTTTAAGTCGCGAAAGAAGGATCGATCCGCTTAATTAAACCCATTTTTAATTTTAAAAACAGCCCAATAATTAAAGAGAAACCCAAGAGGATCAACCGATAAACATGTTCTTTGATTCTGTATACAATAAACGAATATATTTTTAATTAAAATTGAAAAGATGAAAAATAAGTTGAAAGTATTAGTTGTGTCTCACTATTTGACATGGAGACCTGATATGCTAAACACCGAGTCACCGACAACCCTTTCGTATTGCTGGTTTGGTAGGCTCGTATATTTAGCTTTTCGGTTAATATTTATGTGTTGAAAGATCTATGATTTGAACTAAAATTTAGATCTGTTTTGTAAGAATTTTTTAACACAAATACATGTGATAAAGTACCTTTTCGAGTTGAATATAGTCCTACTGTGACCAATAGGTGTTACCCCTTAAACTTTCACACACTATCAGACCTTAAACAATTATGTCTCTTTTACTTCCTAAAAAGTTGTTTATGCTTGTCTATTTTCATTAGATTTCTTTATCCAATAAAAAAATTATAGAAGAACGTTACCTGTTTATCTGTCAAAATTTACAGACTTTAGATTCAAAACCAATTGGTAATAACTAGATTTGAAAATTGACACATATCCTTATGAAACTGTTTATTTATATCTACGAAATGTGAAACGTGGTAAAAAGATGCAGTTGCATTCAATGTTTTAAGACTTTTGCATAAGAAGATGATACCACTTTGAATATTTGGAGCTCATTAATCGAGAAAAATAACGCAGAGACCTTACCGTATCCACATGTCTTCTGCTTGAATATTACATTAGCCAACAAAGAAGTTGGAAATGGGATTTGCTACATCTGCAACAGTGGTCCTCTTCTTCTTCTTCTTCTTCACAGAGAAAAAACTTAAAGGCTTAAATCTCCTCTCTCGTTCTTTCGTTCTCCTTTAATCGCATCTCAGTTTATGTGTCAGTCTGGTGGTCCTCTCCATCTCCATCGATCATGCTCTTCATATAAACATACTCCGTACTTGTTGGGTTTCAAAATTGTTCCCGTCTCTTCACTCTTGGCTTTTTCTTGTTTTGGTGTAGCTTTCTTACCGCCATTTTCAACTTTGTAATTTCAAAAATATCTTAAATATTTAACAAAAAAAAAAAAATTTCAAAATATTTAAAGGTGAAAGGATAATATATTTTTTTTTGAAGCATCTTCTGTGAGTAGCTTAACTCTGTTTATATGTTCATAATCACGTAAAAGACAAGATTGTGCTTAGTGATCAATTCTGCCTTAAGTCTTACCAGTGCTTCCACACGCCCATAGTGATCATGTTTGAATTATAACGACAATATGATCACAACTTTTTATTAATTGGTTCCACTGATAAAGAGAGAAATAAAGAAAAAAAAAGCATAAAACTGAGAGAATTTCTACAGTTCCAACTAACTTCTTATGAACATCAAGAACAACTACAATTTCACAAGATATGATACTATTTTCACCAGAAGTTAACTGATAGTAAGAGGGTTTGTTTACTTAGTTTTTGTGAGTTGACGCCAGATTTGTTCGAAAACCTGGATGATTAGATCATGATACTCCTTTGGATTCAAGGTAAGGTAACAAGCAAGAAGATCCTCCAAGTCTTTTGAAGCTCTGATGTTGTTCTCTTCTATCATCTCCACCATTGATTCTCTGAAATCTTTCTTTGGATCAACAGAACTCTTCATCACTGCGAAACTTTCAAGCACAACTTGTTTGCTCTCTGATCTGGAAGTGCTTCGACGCGTACCTGAGAGTTGAATTCTTGGAGAATTTACCTTTTTGAGGTTTATCCCTGCAGATGATTTTCTTCCACTAGAAATTTTCTTTTGGTATTTCCTCTCTGCTCTGCATTCATCATCATCTTCTTCTAACTCTTGCCTAATCTTCACAGAAAGATGGCTTTTTAGCGGCTTCTTAGCTGGGTTACTTGCAGGGCAAGCTTTCTCTATCGAATCAGACTCTTTGACCTTGTGCTTGGTGAAAGCTTTGTTCTTTGAGTCGATCTTAAGGTTGGAAGAATTAACGAACTCAACATCCTCCTCCTCGTAGAAACTATACAAAAAAGACTCAGGGGAGCTTTCAAGAGCTGGAAACAAGCAGTGAGAGGAATCTTGACCGTTGAAATTGCTCTTGTTAAAACCTTCAGATGCAAAAGGAGTGATTGGTTTAACGGATGGCTTGTAAAGTGTCTTTCTCTTACTCATCCTTTTTGTGTGAAGAGAGTTTCTTGGTGAGTTATGGTGAGGATTGTCAGCTACGAATCTGTTGGAGAAATGAGAGGTTGAAGACTGATGAAGAAGAGAATCTGAGGAGGGTTTCTTCTTGTTATAAATGTTTGAGGAAGAAGAAGAAAAAGGTTTGGTTTTGGGTTTAGACTGTTTGGTCATGTCTTTGAGCTTGTGAAACCATGCATTTGGGATCATTTCGGAAATTCTGAACTTGTGGTTCCCCATCTCATCTCTCACTCTACACAAGATTTTCTGACGTTCTCTTATATAAAGAACCTCTGTTTTGTTTCCTTAGATAAACAAAAGCGGAAGAAGCAGAGTCTATATTGTGACAGATAAAGAAGAAGCTCAAAATTAGAATGCATGGCAGTGAGAGAAAATTGGGGGCCCTAATTCAGAGAAAAGCTAAAAGAATGACTTTTGTTTGTATCATCATTACCAGCATCACCATGAAGTACTTGAGATATCACATTTACACGCTTTAGTTTATTTTGGATTTATTTAAACTATCTTTTTAACTATTTTAAATTTAAATTTTTTATATTTTCATAAAAATTAATATAATCATCATTTATTACTTGTTAGTATGTTATTATAAAAAATCTCACAAAATCAAATTAAAATACATATTGAATATTATTAAATATTCATCAATATTTTTAATTAATTATAACATAAATTCTTGTTTAACATTTACATAATATTAGTTAAGAATCAATTAATGAAAACAACTTTTTGTTTTCTTTGAATAGTTTAAAACTTAAGTGGACATGTGTCACTCTCTCCACTGCTGACATATCATAAAGCTGGAGATAGTTGACTCTTTTTTATATATAACATAGTGTAATGCGGAATATAACTAAATAACTGATTTAGGATGATCTTAAAATTAGGTTACTTAAAATATAACTGATTAAAATATTTAATGAACAAATTAATTGCTAATTATATGATAGAATACCCAATATTCATCAAGGGGTTAATTAATTGACGAAATGAAAAACACTTATGAAATTATCAATTAACAGAATACAATTTCGAGTTAGTGAAGATTTTGTCTATATATATAACGGCAGATATTTTTAATATATATTGGAGGAATTGTTGAAGAGTGAAAATGTGTTTAGTTTTGTTTAATTTTGCTCGTCCCATTTTATGCGCAAACAACACAAAAGTAAATAATCTGGTATAAAGTGATTGTTTTTATCTTTTGAATATTTTATATGCAGATTTTTTAATTGTTCTACATATTTAGTTTGTCGAAAAAGAATTAACAGCTGTCGACTAAAAAAACAATTAACGACTTTTTTTAGTAGTTAACGGATTTTGATGGATTTCAACTGAAGTGTGATCATTTTTATGATGAGCTTTTTAAATTATCATATTAACAACAAAAAATAACAGATGAACTCTAAAAATGCAGCAACTGAACGAAAATACTAATTAAGAATTAGATTTTGATTATTTGACCCAAAAAAGGAATGAGCTTAATATTTTGGCAATAATTATAGGAAACTAAAAGTAAAAAGAGTACTAATATACTGAGTAATTAACTAGTATAATATAGTTATTGTTTTTAAAAAAAAAATACGATGAGACTACATATGGAAAAAAGAAAGAAAGAAAAGCCAAAATTCTATGAAAACCAACGTTACCAAGCGGACATTTTTATGTTCTGTAATAAAATCAGTTTTAGGGAATCCATTATAAAGGTTTTATTTTTGAAGTAATTATTGACCAAATGGCAATGGCAATAAAAGAAAATGCAGCTTTTTTCTTCGAAAGAAGCTTTTTGACTAAAAACGTTAAAACGTTCGCACCAGTCCATTTGCAGCCTTGGTCTTAAATGGACAAATCAAAATTTATAATTAAAAAAAAAAAACCAACTTTTAGCTAAAACTTTTACATACATCTTGGTTTATAGGTTTACACATGACATGCTTCATTGAATTTGGCAAAGTCTGAACCTTAATTATGTTTCTAGGTTGTTCTTGTGTCAAACTTTAGATAATAACTATATTGAGGTTATACAGATAAGCAAATACTGAGATCAGGATAATCATTGATCAATAAATTCCATTTTTCATTTGTAAATTTTTGAATAAATGGAGCAGCTTTTGAGTCGTAATGATGATTTTGAAAACAATTTGGTCCCAATATGTCCACTAACGCCGAACACTTTGTGGACACCCTTTTCTCTTTACATTCCCTTTCCAAATGAACCAACATTTTTGTCAATGTTTTTTTTTCTTCAACAAAGAAAAGATGATTATCAAAAATAAAATAAAAAAAAAACAAATCCACAATCCTTACATCTGACAGGTAAATGTGATAAGTGAGAGATATGAATCTCAAACAAGAACTAAATCCGAGAATAACCAAATAACCCACAACGAAATGATAAAATTGCAAATAAAAAGGAAACTTGGAAGTCAAGAAAAAGAAAAACACAAATAAAGCAAAATAAACAAATATATGATTTCCCCTTTTGGATCAAAAAAATGACGTGAAGAAATTGAGAGGATTTAGAAGCACAACCTCAGACACAAGAAGCTATAAAACTCAGTTCAAAGTTGAGGAAGTATCAAAGATTCAGTGTCATCCAAAAGGTCTAACAGATTCCGCTCAAGGTACATAAGATATATGTCACAAACTTGTTCCTCTTCTGTTGCTGCTTTACGGTCATCCTGTATAAAACAAAACAAAATTAAAAAACAAAACAAAAAAAAAACAAAACAAAAGAAGAAATGATTTATCGAATCTTTACCAGAGGCATTAAACATTTGATATGAAACACGTCGTTGCAGTGCTTGCAACAGTAACAAGTATGATAAGAGCATTCTGATCCACAGAGAGAACAGCTTCTTTCATCAGAAATATACTTTGGCTCGACAGAATGTTTATGTTGCGGGCTCTTCACATTGGTTGCAATCCCAATGCACTCTACATGGGCGTTAAAGCTACAATCAACACAGCCGTAGAACGAAACACCACATGGTGTAGCACAAACACTGCAAGCTTGTGTCAATCGTAAGTCTTCCATCCAAAAATTATAAAGATAGTGAATGTGAGGCTTGAATTTACTTGACGATATATCCACAGCTTTGATGCATTCGATGTGGAAGCTGATCTTGCAAACGTAACAACTATATCCATGCTTTGGAATATTCATCTTGCAGGCAATGCAGTTGGCTCCACTTGCAATAACTCTAGCAAAAAGCTTGTGGTCTGAATGAAGTGGATGATCACATATTGGCTTTCTCCAAACTTCCATACAGCGAGAATGATATATCTCCCCACACGTCATACATGATAGAGCTTTTCCATATAGCTTCTCAAAACAAATAGCACAATCAGTCATATACGACCTCGATACCATAACTTGAACTATAACATGCTTGTCATTCACGCATCTTCCTCCACTTTCTCCGATGACTTTTTTCCCTAACATCCCAAGAGATTGTTTGCCTCTCAAGGCGCAGTTGATGTCAATGACGAAATTGCATATTCGACAGAAGATAATAAATCCCAACAAAGGAAGTCTGCAGCTATTACAGTTCATTAACTCTCTTGTAGGGGGATTAGGCAGGAGTGTTAAAGGGTGCTCCCTGTGAAGAAGCCGATTTTTCCATGGTTGCCCAAGCTCTGCACAAAAATGATGAGTCTGGAAACTGCAAGATGTGCATTTACATGGGTTCTCGCGTATTTTTTCTCTACATATTTCGCAAATTGCTTTTTCGTCAAGGTCGCTCATGTGGATCAGTTTCATCACATGAATATGCGCCACATCATTAACCTGTAACATATATGTATGGAAAAAGTTAGGCCTAAAAGAAAGAAAACATTTATACGACCAGTGTATGGACGACTATAAGACACACCATGAGTTTGGTTTCCAATATGTTTGTTTCATCGCCTTCTTGATTAGTTGCTCTTGTGCTGCCTTCACGGCCACGTAAATATAAATCTTTCAAGTACATAGGGGAGGGCTCTTCCTGTTGTTTACGAGTGAGAGTAATTCATCAGCATGGTCGTCACAACTATCATCATTAGCAAAAATAAAATAAAAATTTGCATTAACATATTAATTACCTTGCGTAGAATGCATTCAATGTGACCACGATAATCACATTCTTGGCAAGAGTAAGCATCATGTTCTGCATGTACCATTGTCTCGCACACACCGCAATACTCCAAAGACTCGTGGTCATTGCCTAAGAATGTTTTGCACACAAGTGGATGAGTGTGAAAAGATTTCTTGACGAGAGACTTGGGTATACCAAGACACTCGAAATGAAACTTCATATTACATTCCACACAGTGATAATAGGAATCGAGAGAAATGGCACTAGTTTCCATGCATATCTGACATGGGCTCTTTTTGTCAATGGCATAACGAGCACCAGTAGCTACATAAAACAGCCTGTGCTTATGAGACTCGTGCATCAGACCTCGTAGCAAGGAATCCATACACCTTAGATGGAGGTCAATATCGCATTTTCTGCAACTATACGACACACCTAAGATTGCTGACTTGCATGCACTACAAAAAGTTTTACAACCAAATGTTCGTAGGTAACTAAGGCGTTTGAGAGGGTGTGCTGGATGCACAGAGTGTTGAATCTCCGTCGGAAGATCAAGGCACTTTTGGTGAACAAAAGAGTAACAATGAATACATCCGTAACATATGGAGGAGGGGGATACAGGAAGCTCACATAGCAGGCAAGAGCCTTTGGCATCTGATCCTGGCCTACATCTCCTAAGTAAGTGGCAGTGACTGTCATGGAGCAACTCTTTAACATCCCAAGAGTCAGTGATGTTGTCTCGGAGCGCACAACCAAGGTCCAGGTAGATCTCACATGTTTTACACTTGTAGAAGGAGCCACAAGACATTTCCCCACACCCAGAGCAAACGATGTATTTAGGTTTCCGATTATATTTGAATAGACAAAGCTCTAGAGGATGTTCACGGTGGAAATCGTGATGAACCTTCTCCGGAAGTTCGGAACAAGATAAGCATAGATCAAAATTACAAGGCCTACACTCAAACTTGACAGGCTCCTCTTTGTAGCATATATTGCATACGTTGTATGTGACGATCTTCGGAGAAGTCAGATCGCATTCATGTGAGAAATGCTTGAGTGTTTGCAAGGCCATGGAAACAAGAACTCGACAAGAGAAAAGAATGGATCAAAAAGTCAACAGAAGCACTGAAGAAAAAAAAATAGGCAGCTGAGCTATATGAACCTGATAAACTACTTATTTTCAGCAGACAACTCCTTAATTTGAAAAG